CCTCCATGGCTCCCCCCTCCCCCCCCCCGAGCTGGAGCACATCCCGGCCCTACCCCAGGTTCTTGTGTGGGAATTTCTCTCCCACCCAGACCTGCAAGTCACCACCTGCTGTCCAACCAATGGATGGATCCTTCACAATGCCTGAAAATGCCTACCAAGTTGTGACAAACGAAACACAAATTTGGGAAACCAACAGATAAACAATCCAAATCAACATACGAGCAGAGAAATGCAATGCTACCAGTTATGAGGTGGGAAGGGGGGGGCTTTATTTCCGGCTAACTGAGGCTCTGCGCCTCAGCTCACCCTCCTTTTTAAACATGCTGGTGGACCAGACTGAAAACCCTGTCCTTCAGGTCCACTAGCAGGCAACCCCACGCTCATTGCCCTGCCTGGCCAATCCTTGAAGGGGGTTGTGCCGCCAGGCGCGGCATGGGCTCTCCCAGACCCCTCTTTGCCGCTTGCCACATGGCGGTCTACATCTTTTTTTGGCCACCTCCGGTGGGATCCCAGCTGCCGCTCCGGCCTCAGCGCGGGGCTGGGTAAGTCCGTGTCCCGGCCTTCTCAAAAACAACATTAAAATGTAGATAGAAAATGACTTTCTTGACATTTATGACTTTAATTTCCCACCCATTTGCTTCCGCATGTCTGTCATTTTGCCAGTTTCCTATTGCTTCATATTCAAGAAGAGATTTTTGGTTTGGGGGAATATAATGTAGAAAACATTCTCTTTGCATTCTATTATATAAGAGGTGATGGGTTTGGTATCTACTATTTTCAATAAAAACATGAAAATGCACATGATTTGATTCTGGGGATAGATGTGGCAAAGGTGAAGCAAGGTTCTTTTTATAGTCACATGTTTCCTGTAAACTTTTCTGTACAGGAAAGCAGATTAGTCACTGATGTTGGTGGATTGCTATAGTCTATAGTGGGATCCACCATGTGGTGTGCGCTGCAGTCTTTCGTGTCACTTAACAATATCTTGACCCTCTATAACTTTTGCGATGGAGCATTGAGACACAAAGCATCTACAAAATATGTACATAGTAATTTTACTCTTCCACTCTCCAGTATATTCTGTCCAGATTGGCATTAACCCATTTGCAGGGTCTTAGGAGTCTGGATAGGAAATCTCATTTTAGATTTAAAAGTTGGGGGAGCTGGAGCAGCTTTTCAGTTTTAGGTGTCACATGTACAAAAATTACAGTGATTTCATTTAAAAGGTAGCCAGAATATAAGCTAAGAGAAAATCAGTCATGAATTGTGCCTTTAAAAAAATTATTTGGAGCAGCCAACAGGGAAGGGCTGAACAATTATTTTACTGGAGTGGGATTACCATTCCTTGCCCTCAGTTTAAAACTCAGGATAATTCTCAGCCTTCTGAGAATCAAGTTCAGGGGGATCAAGATAGACATTCCTTGTAAAGAGGTTGGTATTGGGGTGATGTTGCACAGTATATTCTGTTGGATGGGCTGACAAGGGGTAAATCAAGGTCTAACAGATGACTGACTCATTCATGGAAGAAAGCAGCACTGAAGTTGTGACCTCCCACCACCTCCTGAAATGTCACTGCTGTAATTATATTGTAGTGATCATCTTCTAGGCTCGGAAAGCCTGCTTGCCCTTTCTCATATTATCTAACAGATGACTGGATCATCTGTTGGGTAGGAGGAGTGCTAGGTGTCCAGATGCTCCCACACATTGCAGACACATTAAATACAAAGAATCTTGTGGCACCTTAAAGGCCAGCATGATCTATTGGGCATAAGCTTTTGTGGTTTGTAGCTCAACTGATCTGATGCAGATCAGAAGTGATTGCTAGGCCACAAAGTTTATGCAAAGCCCTGTCATTCTTTAAAACCCCAATATGCTCTTTTATTATTTTGCACTGCAACAGATTAACAAGGCTGTCCTCTGCTCTGAAGGGGTTATATTAATGTTAACTATCATATTTTAAAAGAAAAGGGGCATTGTCATTAACAAATAAATATGTCATAGATACTGTACTGTACATAGGAAGGAAGGAAGAGAATAGGTTCTTTTCAGCTGTTCTTCAGCATGCACAGGATTTTGCAAGAAGTGACTGTCATATTAGTCTTGAGTATAATTGTGCAAAAAAATGACAATGTCATGTCAAAAAGGGAGGTGGGAAGGCAGACACTGCTAACTGCTGCATTTTTGCAGGAAAGGGTCTGAGAGAATGCAGGCAGGACCATGCCATGTGTGATTGTGGAGCAAGATTTCAATTTTTGCTAAGTCTATATTTTTTGCTGATATCATGAGTAGCATGTTGTTGGTAGGGAGCAAGAAATGCATCTCTTCTGTAACCATCCCCAAAAGATGCTTGGAGAAGACAATAGGTAATTTAAGTTTA